GGTGTGTGTGTGTGTGTGTTAGCATTATGTAACCATATTACATACTGTGATTTACTTATATTTACCTACATCAGTGATTTTATAATATGCTAATGTTCATTATCACTTTCTTCATTACTGTCCCTGTCTGATGAATGAGAAACACTAGACAACAGCTCAGCAACTGCTTCAGGGCCAGCCTGCTTTTCTGACAAGACAGGTCTCAATTTACCATCTTCCATAAACCAGCCCAGTTTGCAAGGATCAGGAATTTCTGGATGAATAACAGAATCCTGGCTTCATATATTGGCCTGCAGATGTGCATGCATTATATGCTGATAAAAGGCTCCTGCAGTTGGTGGCAGCTTATCTACAGTTGATTGTTTGGCAGAGTTTTGAATCTTTTCCATCGTAAAATTGAGGCATTTTAGCAGATACTTTCTTCGTTCAGAGAAGACTACACAAAAACTCCTTGCATCCCATTCTCACATTAAATGATCCCAAGCTCATCAAAGCATGTAAACATGAGGGGATGATTTCATAAACATCTTAAGGGCTGTTTTTTCCATCACCATTTATATGCCCTGTAATAATCAGGCTCGTATCCCGGGGGTGGGGGTTTATGGTTCGGGAGAACCCTCCTTTTCTAGCAAACCTCCCTCATTTCTGGCGAACCCCACTCTTCAGATTTCCCAAATAAGTCCTCCAACCCACCTGGTGCACTGCAGACCCACCCAGACAAAGACCTTTTCAAACGTATCTGCTTTAATAGCATTATTTAGACACATAAAGCACAAAAATTCAAATCCCCTTGCTTTGGGGGTTTCGTCGACCCTACCAGGGCTTCGACCGTGGACCTCACGCCCAGAAAACCCCCCTTGAAAGAACCTGGCTATGGGCCTGAAAATTTTTATCACAACCGGTGATAGCATGGAAGCCTGGTAGTGTCACTGCTCTTTCTGGTCCAAGATGATCGTATATTGGCTGAAGAGCCACTCTTCTTCTGGTTTCAGCAAGGGCAAGATGTCAACAAAAAAAACACCCCAGAGCATCCTCCAACAACAGCTGTAAGCACACAAGAAGAAGCTGATACTCTAATGATTCCCCATGTCATAGAAGTGGCCTCTGAATCTGGAAAGTATACAGACTGGTTTGTATTGATCTTCAGAAGACTTCCACAGCTTGGCATGAATACTGGAATTTGTGTAGTCTTCTCGTAACTAAGAAAGTATCTGCTAAATATGCCTCAACTTTACGATGGAAAAGATTCAAAACTCTGCGAAATAATCAAGGTGTAGATAAGCTGCCACCAACTGCAGGAGCCTTATATCAGCATATATTGCGTGTAAATCTGCAGGCCAATATATGGAGCCAGGAAACTGTTATTCATCCAGAAATCCCTGATCCATGCAAACTGGGCTGGGTTTGGAAGATGGTAAATTGAGACCTGTCTTGTCAGAAAAGCAGTCTTCCCCCCTGAAACAATTGCTGAGCTTATCAGATGTACCTGTTCAATATGTACATGTTCAATTAATACATGCACGTGTAGGAGAAAATCTTCAGTGTACTGAGATATGTAACTGCGAAGCGAAAGGGAGTTTCTGCAACAACTTTCCATTGTTGTCGAGTGTTTCTGATTCATCAGACAGTGATAGTGATGAAGAAAGTGATAATGAACATTAGCATATTATAAAATCACTGATGTAGGTAAATATAAGTAAATCACAGTATGTAATATGGTTACATAATACAAACACACACACACACCCACACATTATATATATATATATATATATATATGTATATGTATATATATATGTGTATATATATATATGTATATGTATATATATGTATATATATATATGTATATATGTATGTATATGTACATATATGTATATATGTATATATATATGTATATCAAGCTATTGCTGATTGTTGTTTTTTCAGTATGCTTTCAATATATACATATATATATATATTACACATATATATATATATACATATATAGATTAATATATATATATATATATATATATATATCACATATATATTATGGTAATAACCATTAACAGCATATGGCAATTGCATATAACTAGCTCTATCACACGTTTTTGTTTTACAGTACAGATCGGTTATTATATTAATATGTATGCTAAAAAGCTAAAATAATGGAAAATGGCAGCCATTTTAAATTGTAATAGCTCAAAAATGTGTACAATATTTAGTTAACTGTTCTTGTCATTGTTATGAGTGAATTTCCAATTAAATGCTGCATTTTAATAACATAAACTTACAATATTAGTGACAATTTTAGAAAAAAAATGGCGGCCATTTTGAAACTGCTGGCAACCCCCCTTACGTATGAAAAAAAAAATGTTTTTTTGATTTATCAATGTCTACTCTACATCATATTCAATTTTTAAAAAATATAGCAAAAAAAAATGCAACCTCTGATATTGCTACATTTCAGACTGGACTAAAAACTGAGAGTCACAGTGCAAAAGTGAGAGTCACAGTGCAGAACTGAGAGTCACAGTGCAAAATTGAGAGTCACAGTGCAAAAGTGAGAGTCACAGTGCAGAACTGAGAGTCACAGTGCAAAATTGAGAGTCACATTGCAAAACAAAGAGTCACAGTGCAAAACGTTGGTGGCAATGCAAAACTCCAATGGCAGTGCAACTCAAGTGGACGCCCTCTATTTTGAATTAAAGTTTCACAGCTTTTTTGGACGGTGTCAACAAGTAAAATGGATGAAATTTTGAGGTCACTTGGGCACTCCTTAGTGACCATTGACAATTTTGAAAGAGGGGGGGGGGTGTGCGTATAAGCGTTACAATTAATACAAAAATTAAGTGTTTGAAATAATAAACGGTGGGCTATGGAGAAGGCTAGTAGTAGGTACATGTGCCCGGGCTTGTCAAAAAACAAGGCATAAGTCTAGATATATACCTAAATGTCTCGATTTCGTCGGCTTCTCAAGAGCCATTGTTTTCCTAAATAAATCTCACTTAACTGTCTAAATTTTCTGCTTTTTGTCATTTCTATTGTCTTTGTTGATCCTCAATTGGTTATCTTTTATTTTTAATTTATTTTGATTGCGCCTTGTATATATCCCTTGGCAAAAGGCGCGGTACAGGTTGTATTATTAGCTAGGCCAGGCCTAGCCTAGGCTTTAGGGCCTGCCTAGACCTAGGCTAGGCCTGGAATCCGCCGCTGAAATTATAATGTATTCAGGTCCGTAGGCAGGGGGGGGGGGGGGTGTATAAGAGAGGTGCAGAGGCAGCGGACGCACCCTCCCTCCCAAATTCCAAAAGGTCTACTTTTTAAAACCTATGATTTCACAAAATCGTTCCCAATTATCAC